GTGTGTGTGTGTGTGTGTGTGTGTGTGTGTGAGAGAGAGAGAGAGAGAGAGAGAGAGAGAGAGAGAGAGAGAGAGAGAGAGAGAGAGAGATTTTCGTCGACAGGATGAGCAACACAGCGGCAAACAGGTAAGTCTCCAACCTTGCGCAAGGCCCCACACAATTTCCATCGATAGGATGAGCAAAATCGAATGAATCTTCCGCAAGTCTCCAACCCCGCAGCTGGCCCCACGCGACTTCCATCGGTAGGATGAGCAAAATCGAATGAATCTTCCGCTAGTCTCCAACCCCGCGGCCGGCTCCACGCGACTTCCATCGATAAGATGAGCAAAATCGAATGAATCTTCTGCTAGAACATGGAAAGCGGCACAACGCAGCAGGAAGCGGGCGGGAAGTCGTGGACCGGACCCGATGGCCGCAAGACGGTCGCCAGGCCTCCCTAGGCCGCTACTGTTCGTACGTCATGGTCGCGATTTTCATGTTTTTTTTTCCCGGCCTGGGCTCGCCACCCGAGGTCCCAAACCTGGAAACTGGGTCTCACGCCGGCGTCACGCAAGACCCGGCTTTTCCTTTAGCTGTATGTAGATAATCTATTTGTGCAAGTGTGTCACTCTGGCGTCAGACAGGTGTGTGGGGACTTGGTGCTTAACCAGACAAACATGGCCAACCGTGCATCTTCTACTATTCTGACACTTTATCTATTCTGGGGGGCGGCAGTCTGGTGGCTCGTTAGTGGCAAGCAAGTTTAGACAGGAAGAAAGAAGAAGAGAAAGGCTGAAGAGAGAGCCATTCCCCCCTGGCTCTAGATGCCTAACTGGCCAAACGGCCACAAAATTGGGGGGGTTGCTATTATGTACCTGAACCTTTCCTCTGGGTGTTCTAAAGGTGTGCCCATGCTAGCTGGGAAACATCCTAACGGTGCCGAGACATAGCATGAACATTCCTAGAATTGCCTTACTGTGGCCCCAAGTCGTAATAGCACTCCACCGGCTCTAGACTATGCTCTATAGGAGTATTCCACTCTATAGCAGTGCTGCTGTGGACATCCCCCCCTTCTCTCCCCACCGTCCACCCAACCTCCACCAAGTTCCTGCCTCCTTCCGTAATCCCTCTTCCTCCCGCCTCCTTAGCTCCACCCTATTTACGCCTGACCCATGGACACCTGGATGCCCGCATGTGCAAAAGAGAGAGAGAGAGAGAGAGAGAGAGAGAGAGAGAGAGAGAGAGAGAGAGAGAGAGAGAGAGAGAGGAAGGGAGAGGGAGCAGACTGGATGTCCTCCGTCCTCTCCTTCCTCCCCCCTTCCTCCCGTCACCCAACCTTCTTCCTCCCTCCCCTTCCCTCCTTCCTCCCTTCTGATGACCTCCTCCCAACTTCCGCGATCAGTTGCTGTCTTCCCTCCCTCTGCCCGATGTGGCATTCTGCGCAACCACACGGGCCTGCAGGGCCCGACCAGACGGAAATTCAGGGCCCTATGGGCCCTGTGTCGTTTCAGCCTAAAAGCCTGAAAACGAGGGCCTACAGGCCCTGTGTTGTTTCAGCCTAAAAGCCTGAAAACGAGGGCCTACAGGCCCTGTGTCGTTTCAGCCTAAAAGCCTGAAAACGAGGGCCTACAGGCCCTG